ATGCCCAACAGACAGGCCAGGGAGGGAGGCGATGGCTTTGCATGTGGCTGACCCCTGTTCAATCTGCAGCACCACAGGGGTCCCCTAAGCACTGCCAGGAGTCAGCACTGAATGCCACCAGATGTGGCCCCCAAACAAACACAAATAGGAGGTCTGTGAGTTTCATATTTAAAGGACACCCCCAAATAAAAGGTGCGGGCTCACATGGCACACGTATGACAGTCACTCCAACGTTCTGGTCTCAAGGACAAAGGCCTGAGCAACAGCACAACGGGGAGGGTATTTGTCTTGCACGCAGCTGACCCAGGTTCGATCCCCGGCATCCCATAGGATCCCCGAACCCACCAGGAGTGATTCCTGAGTGCAGAGCCAGGAGTAAGCCCTGAACACTGCCAGATGTGACCCCCAAAACAAAATAAAAAAACAAAAATATCTAGCCACTCGTGGTCTCAGGAACAGGAAGCAGAGACACAGTGTGGTGGGCTAAGTAGGCTTTGGGGGTGGGAAGCTGGACTCATGGTCCCCCAAGCACCACCAGGCATCACCCCAAGCACAGGTTTTCCGTCCCACCTCTATTCCCATTTCGGCTTTCACAGGTACCCACTTGCTCTTGTGTTCCTTCTCATTACATCTTCCTTTCCAAAATTCCTTTCCTGTTATCCTTCCCCACCTTCATTTCTCGTTCAGGTCCTGGCACCACCTATGGTTCCCCCAGTACTGCAGAAGCGACCCCTAAACATCCAGCTAGGAGTAAACCCTGAGCACCCCTGCAGGTGGCCCAAAAGCTCCCCCCCAAAAAAAAATCCATAAAGACACTTTAAAGGTAAAGGTAAAGGCCCTCCCGTTGTTCGTCGATTTGCTCGAGCGGGCCCAGTAACGTCTCCATTGGAGATTTTGTTGTTACTGTGTTTGGCATATCGAATACATCACGGGGAGCTTGCCAGGCTCTGCCGTGTGAAATGAAAATATCTGCAATATATGAGGAAGTCCTCAGCGCTCAGACCGATCTGAGTGCTGATCTAAGTTCCAGAAGACCCTACCTTCCATGACATGGACAGAAATGTCAAGCTGGCTAGCCCGGCAGGGCCGAGGGTGGGGACCCCAGTAAGGTCTCTATGAACAGGAGAGATGAGTGCTTGTGAAAATTAAGTCAGCAAAACCCAACCAAATTCGCAATCTGAATATCTTTCACGTTGAAATGCCACTCTGGGGCACTTAATCTGAGAATGCATGCCCTGGCGTCAGAGCTGCAGTCCGGAGAGACACAGAACCAATGACTAGAACATTCTAGAGAGACACAGAACCAATGACTAGAACATTCCCAGAAGAGAAGCATAATAAACACATGCCGGGGGCACTTATTAAGTCATTACAAATAATAGGAATGGGGCTGGAGAGATAGCATAGCAGGTAGGGTGTTTGCCTTGCATGCGGCCACCTGGGTTCGAATCCCAGCATCCCATATGGTCCCCTGAGCACCGCCAGGAGTAATTCCTGAGTGCAGAGCCAGGAGTAACCCCTGTGCATCGCCAGGTGTGATGCAAATAATAATAATAATAATAATAATAGGAATTAGAACGACAGAAGATGATAGGGAATAGAAAAAAATTGAAGACACAAAGGACGTGTGTGGTATCATCTTCTTGACCTTTTTTTAAATGAAGGAAAGCAATTCTGCACAAAAACATAAATTCGAGTGTTTTTTGTGATTGTCACAGCAAATGTGATCCTGTTTACCAAAACAGGTTTCCTCCAAAGAGAGAACAAGGAGAGAAGGAGATGTGGTTCTCATTTTCTTTACCTTCTTCTGTGTTTTCCATTCTTACAAGCATACATTGCTTTTGAGTGCGAAAGTAATCCACTAGTGCATCTTCTGTTACCTATTTATCTATTTATTTATTTTTATTTGGGAGCCACACGGTGGTGCTCAGGGTTTGCTCCTGGCTCTGTGCTCAGAATCCTTCCCAAAGGGGCTCAGGGGTCCCTATGGGGTGGCAGGGATCAAATCCGGATTGGCTGTGTACAAGGCAAGTGCTCTGTCTGAAGAGATGGTATCTGGGGAGGGACAGTACACAGGGAGGGACAGTACATGGTGAGAGACGGTACACGGGGAGGGGTAGTACAGAGAGATGGTACACAGGGTAAGGCAACTGCTTTGCATGTGGCTAACCGAATATTGTCCCGAAAGCACCAACAGCCAGAAGTAATGCTGCCACCTCCTTGGGCAGCCTGGAGCCCCCAGGAGGGCAGGTCATACTAATACTTGCTCAAGGTCACTAGCTAGAAGCAGTCATGGTCCGGTTCAGACCCAACACTCAGACTCTAGGAGGCACTCCCCTAACCATTAGATTTAATAGCCCCTCAGCACGGGTGGAGGGGATGGACCTAGTGTGGGGGGGTGAGGAGAGGGGGATGGATGAATGAGTTGAGTAATTGGCCCTGCCCCCTGGGGTGACCACCACCCATCTGTAAGAAGTGAGGATGACTCTTGGCCCCTGCCCTGGGCCCTTTCACTGGACAGTTGGTGCTTGTCCTGAGGCCTTTACTGGGCCACTGGGGCTGGCCCGGGGGTACAGCTGGGTGAGGCCAATTCCTCCACTGCATCTAAACAGATAGATACAGAGGAACAAAGGGAGGGAGGAAGGAAGGGAGGATGGGGTGGGTCCATGGATAGATGGATGATGCAGAGGATAAAGGGATGGATGAATGAGTGGAAGTAGAGATGGAAGGACGGACAGATGAATGAGTGAAGGGATGGATAGGTGGGAGGGTGGGTATATGTGTAAATGGATGGAGGGATGGGCAGATGGATGGAGGGATGGGCAGATGGAGGGAAGGATGGGCAGATGGAGGGATGGGCAGATGGATGGAGGGATGGAGATGGATGGAGGTATAGGTAGAGGGCTTGAGGAATAGGTAGAGGGATGATGGAGGGATGGAGGAAAGATGAAAAAGTGGATTATGGGTGGGTGTGTAGATGAGTGGGTGGGTGGAAAGATGGATGAGTATGTAATGATGGAGGGATGGGTGGGTGGGTGAGGGATGAGTGGATGGAGGGTGGACAGAGGGACGAGGTACAGATGGTGATAGGGTGGACAGAGGGACACAGCTAGGACAGGCGGGCAGTCACAGGTGTGCATCCCGCAGGCTCTGCTGCCCTGAGGGAGCCTGACCCACACCTACTCACTGCTCTCTCCGCATATGAGCTTCTCAGCAATAGCTGCCGAGACGTTCTGGGCTCTGTCTTTATCCTAGTACCTGAGCTCCCCGCCCCTCCACACCCACAGTCAGTGCTCAGCAGTGGCGGGAACTGCGTAACTCTCACCTTTGCCACAGGGCCTGTGTTGCACAGAAATCACGGAAGGGCCTAGAAGGCCAGTTCGAGAGGCCATACCTGGTGAGCGAGCACCCTCCACCCTACAGCCGGCCACCCCATGCCCATTCACACCCACCACTCACGATGTCCTCACACCCCAACGAGTGCCTCCCCAGCCTTGAGGGTCAGCGAGGGACCAGTGCGCCCACTCATGACCAGGCACTCTTCAAACCTGTCCTGGCCCAGTCAGGCCCAAAGGAGGTCAGTGCACATGGGGTTAATAGAGAGTAAGGAGCAAAAAGGCCCTCAAGGAAGTGGACGAGAAGGGTGAGATCCACGACTACAGACCCCTGGATGAGGGGCAGGGGGTGGGGGGAGGTGGTGTTCAGCAGCAGAGCAATTGCCTTGCAGGCACAAGGCCCCAGTATGACACACGCAGCAACTGACGGAAGCACAGCTCAGTGAATTTGTGGGCACCCCTGCCCCAAACAGATGAATGGGTCTTTGCGGAATTCCTCCGAAGCCTGGCTATCTTTAACTCTTTCTTCAGGCTGGCACGAAGTGAATGCCCTGATCTCACACCAACAGCGTTTTTCCTGTGACATATTCTCCCTTTTCATTTCTCCACCAAGGGTCCTTTGAGTCTTATTTTTAAATCCTCTCATTGCCCGGGGAGTGGCAGAGTCAGGTAAAGGTAAGCCGGGACGGTGGGAGGCGCTGGGGGGTCAGCCTGCCTCCCGGGGGCAGAGCCTGCAGTCCACCATGAGAACAACGCATATTAACTAGGGCTAAACACTGAGCAACAGATGTGCAGAGACTATATATAGTGGCTGGTCTGAGTCATGCTCGAGTCCCCTCCAGTGGCCCTTCTCGCAGGGAGCTTCCACGGGTCCCCTCGGGGATGTGAGATCAGCCTTACACCTTGAGACCATGAAGGACTGCACCCAGCTCCCGGGGTGTCCCTTCCCCCCAGCCCCCCGCCCATCCCTCGGTCACTCATTTAAAAGCCCAGGCAACAGGGCATGAGAACAAAGCTCAACACGAAAAGAAACAAAACCCAAACAAACAGAAAAAAGGAAACAGCTGGATAGAATCTGGACCTTTCAGAACTCGGGAACAGAAAGAAGAATTTCCGCAAAGGCTGGGGTGGAGGTGGGGTGGGCTTGGGGCGGGGACGCCAGGCTGCGGTGACTGGGACGCCCCTAATAGGCACTTAGAAACCAAATGCAGGCGCGCGTCAAGGACTCTGGGACCCTGGACCCGGTGCCCTGACCACCTGTCGGTCCCTGTGTGTGTCCTTTGCCACCGGGGCGGGAATACCCCCAGTAAGCACTATTATGGGGTCGAATTCCTGGCCGGTCGCTCCTATGCCTTCATCCCCGGATGCTCTCCTTCGGGGTCAATAGCCCGAAAACCGGCCCGGGCGCCCCGGCCCACGCGGGCCATCCCCCCCGCGGCCCCGCCGGCCCCGCCGCCCAGCCGGGCGTCCGGGAAACGCCAAGTCCCCGCGGCCGCCGCGCCGGGTGCGCCCAGGGAGCCGTCCAGGGCGCGCCCCGCGCCGGGCCCGCAGCGCGCGAGGGTCCCGCCGCCGGCCCCGCAGGAAAAGTAAGTGCGGGGCCCCGCGCGGGGGACGCGCGCCGGGCGGACCCGGAGTGGGGCAGCGCCCGCGCCCAGGGACACTCACCGAGAAGCCGGCCCAGAAGGGGCAGGAGTGGCGGACGCGCGCCGAGGTGGTGAGCGCCAGCGCGGCGAAGCTCACGGCCACGATGAGGCATCCGAGCGCCATCTGCGTGGCCCCGAGCGCCAGCACGATGCGGGAGCGGCCCGGGCACGGGCGCAGGCGGGACAGGCTGCGGGGCAGCGCGCGGGGCGCCCCGGCCCGCGGCATCTCAGCGCGGGGCCCCGGCCAGTGGCGCCGCGCGCGGGGACGGGCGCCCCGGGGGCCGCCCGCAGCCGCCGCCGCCCGGGCCCGCGCCCATCGCCGCTCCGCAGGGCCGCCGGCCGCGCCGCACCGCCCGCCCGCCCGCGCGCTCCCCGGTCCGGGCGCGGGCGCGAGCCAACGCCGGGCGCGAGCCGCAGCGTCAGGCGCGGGGCCGGGGCCGAGCGCGGCGCGCGGGCGCGCGGCAGGTGCGGGGGCGCCCGCCCTGCCCCGCGCCGGCCCCGCCGCTCTGCGGCGCCGAATCCCGGCTCCGGGGTTTCCCGGGCCCCGGCCGTGAACGCGGCCCCCACCCCCGGGCTGGGCAGGTCCCACTCCGACCCCGCGCGCACCTTGGCAGGCGGGTCCAAAGTTGGGGCTTAAAGCCGATGGCCCCGAGGTCTGGCACACAGCTCAGAGGGTTGGCGCGCCAGGGGCCCCGATTTCAGCCCCACCGATGAGCACAGCGTGGCTCCGAGGGCCTCCAGCACGCCCCAGCACCACCCAACATCCTGCCTTCAGCCCTGCAGAGTCCCCCACGTACAGCCAGCTGCGGCGGGACCGGGAGCACTGTTGAGGCTAGATAAATAAATGCACATAATAAATTGAAGTAAACGCTGATTCCAAGGGTTTGTCGAAGTGGGGTTTGGGGAATCTCAGTGCCCGAGCTGTTTCTGGGTGTAGGTCTCGCACGCAGGACCGCCCCCCCCCCCCCGGGTGGGGGGCCCTGAGCCTGGCACACACGTAAAAATGAACGCAAAGCAGCTAGGAAATCATTTCCACTCCCTCTTGCCAGTACCTCATTCTAGTCACCACTCCTCCGGGTCAGAGGAGGAAAAAGCAAGGCCGGAAGTGGTGGTGGTCTTGCTTTGCTTACTGGGCCCGCTATGAGGACAGCTTTAAGACTGGTGGTGTTGAAAAAGGCTGTGTAGATGGATTCATGGAGGGTCTGGGGGCCAGAAGGAGTAGGGCCAAGCTGAAAGGCTTGAAGGCAAGGCTGTGCATTCCCCCAGGACCTTCCACAGCCTATGGACTGAGGGGTCCCTGCTGGGTCTCCAGCTCTGGAGAGCGGTCGCCCCCAAACTGCTAGGTTACTGGGGCTTGAAATTCCACCATTAGAGATATTGATTCCTTTGGGGCTTGACAAGTCTCTATTAAAATGCAAATTCCTCTTGAAGGGGCAAGTGCTCCAGCCTTTATCAGCCAACACCTTGGCAGGGCTGGGATTTATTTTCCAATTTAACTGGATGGAGCAGGGGAAGAAGGGGGGAGGGTGGGGAACATCGCTGAGAGAGTGGCTGACCTCAGAGCTGGCTGGGGGCCAAGGGCGCCTTCTCCTGCGCCTCCTCCTGTTATCTGTGTGGAGGAAGCGCCTCTGGCCAACCCCCATCCCCTGAGTTCACTTTCAGAGTTCCTGGAGACTTCGGCTGAGACCGGCATCGGGCAGGTCTGAAAAGGGCCTGGAAACAAAGCTCTACAGGGTCCTTTGGGTCCTCCCTGTACTGCTCTCGTCCCTTCATTCATTCTCCTGACAAAGGATCCAGCACCAAGAGTCCAGTCCCTGCGAGGCAGACCATGAGGCTGACCTGCACCCTCCCACTCACGGACCGTCCGTGGCCCTTTCTGGTCATTCTCCATCAACTGTGCTGGCAGTTCAATGTGGGAGCCTGGGGATGTAGTGCTTGGGGGGGTTGAGAGGTGAGGCCTGGGGGACTGTGGGGTGAGTCCTGGGGAGCTGTGGGGTGAGGCTGGGGTGCTGAGGGGCTGTGTGGTGAGGGCCTGAGGGGGGGGTGGTGCTGGGGAACTGTGCCTGGAACGTCTCTCCGGCCTCACTTCTGTTCGTGTAAGAGGCATCAAACAGGGAGCAGGCAGCTCGATGCCGGTAATTAGGGTGTGGAAATCTGCCCACTCTGTGAGGTTGGGGACCAAGGGGAATTTAATGAATGCTTTACAAACCTGTACTTTTCTTTCTGTGCATGGGGTATATGAGGGCTCACATTGAGGGCTTCAGGGCCCAGTGACCACTCCCAGCCAACCAGTTCAATGTCGGAGCCACTAGGGCTCCAGGGCTCTTGGGGTCTCACCCAGAGTGGTTATCTCCAGGGCCACACCCGGCAGGGGTCTGGGGGCTGAGGTGCAGGGAAGTGAAAGGGACTCGGGGTGTGCCCCTAACGGACCGTGCACAAGCACGTCCTCTTTGTTCTTTCTTTGTTGTGCCAGGATTGAACCCTTCAGACATGCCAACCTGAATTTTACCCCTGAGTCACCTCCCAGATCCTGTTAGAGAATTGCTGTATTCTGGCTTATTGAAGGCAGAAGCCCAGGGTCCCTTGGTACACAGTTGGGGTTGGCACACAGAAACAACTAGAATGAGATCATTTCATGGGAGTGGACCCTGAAGGAAGGGAAGGAAGGGAGGAAGGGAGGGAGGGAGGGAGGGAGGGAGGCAGAGAGGAATGGAAAGGAGGGAGAGGGAGGAGGAAACGAATTGGGGGAGCGAGAAGCAGAAGCATCAAAAAGGGAGCAGGCAGTCCGATGCTGGGAATTAGGGTGTGGAAATCTGCCCTCTCCGTGAGGAGGAGGGAGGGGACAGACAGTGCCACCTCCATCACCTCCGAGCCCTCAGTGGCCTTTGCTGAGCGTTTTCCCTAGCAAAGGGCACAGGACGGAGGGCCAGTATAGTACAGGCTTAAGGCAATTGCCTTGCTTGCAGCTGACCCCAATTTGATCCCTGGCACCCAATATGGTCCTCTGAGCACTGCCAAGAATGACCCGAGTGCAGAGCCAGGAGTGAGCCCTGAGCATGACCAGGAACGGCCCAACACCCCCCTTCCCAAAAAGAAAACAAATATTTTATTTCGCAAAATAAAATTCTCTGGATTCACAGGCCACATGGTCCTGTATTGTTCCACCATCCCAGAATCCACCAGGAAGCTCTGGGAGCTCAGAGGTGACCCTGCCGTGGACAGCGCAAGAGCCACGCAGAGTTTTCTTCCCCGTGCGGTGATCCAGAAGGCATGCCCACTGCATCTCCCAGGATGAAGGCCCACGGGCCCGAGGTGGGGCGCATCTCCCCAAGGAGGTGGATAAAGTATTTGCTGAGCAAAATGTCAGAGACAGGCTGAACGAGCAGGCAAGACCCTGCCTGCAGAGATGGTGCTGGGATGACTCACACCAGCTAATTAGCCTAACGGGAGCAGGAGAGGGAGAGATCTTGGTGACAGAGCCGGGGCGCAGCATCTGGGAGCATCAAGGCCACTGGAGCATGAAGCCCTGGGAGCGTTTTACAAACAGGGCGTGTGCCTGCCTCCTGGCACCCTACGTGGGCAGCGGCGCCTTCCCGCCTGGGTCCAGTCCCCTCCTGCACAGTGCCCGCAGACTGTTCCATCAGATGCAGAGTCCTAGACGCAGGGTTCAGAGGGAGCTTTTGAATTCTTCTGTGCTCCTGAGAAGAGAGCAATGCTGCCGGAGGAGGGGGAACTGGGCTGTTCCATCTCAAGGACTCAACAGGGGCCAGGAGACAGCACGGCGGTCTTGGAGCCCTGAGCATTTGCGGGTGCAGCACCCAAGATGCCCCCTCCACCAAGGCTGCCTGGATAACCCCTGGTCCCCTAGGGCCAGAGCAGCATCCCATACTCAGAACATTGCTGAAAACCTGCTAGTAGGGCCATGGGGCACTAGGGGAGCCCCCCACCCCATGAACTCGACCAGCACCCTCATATCAGGTCAGCAGAAACCAGTGGACTCTGATGACCTCGTTAGCACAGAGCATATCCACGGCTCACACACGGACACAGACAGGACGACACAGGCAAGGAGAGTTTTGCCCTTAGGGAAGATGGTTCAAAATTGGGACTCAGGACACATGAGATTCCATCTCATCCATCAAGTGGGAGGAAAATAACGGAGCAACATTTATCATCTGAGTCTGCTCAGACGGGAGTTACCTCGTCCCCAAATGCCGTGAATGTCTTTAAAAGAAGCAAAAGGTCTGACACAGAGATCAAAGCATCCACTGACTCCGATTCCAGCCCCGGCACCACCTCTGGCCCCCCCCCCACTCACCCCACCCCAGCAGGGGTCACTCCTGAGCAGAGCCGAGGAATAGCCCCTGAACACCAACCACCCCTGGACAAGGCTGGTATTGCCCCTGCCACGATGCCATTCAGCAGCACTGCAGCTCCCCTTGCTGGTGCCCCAAGCATCAGGTCTCCGGTGCTCTGCCACCACATGCGTTAACCCCAGCAGCCAAGGGAAGGTCCTGGAAACCCGAGCAGTGGGACACGTGGGTCCCCAGCACAGGGATGCCCATCCCCAGACGAAGAAGCCTAAGGTCTCTCTGACCCTGGAGTTGGCCTCACTCATCACCACACACAGAGATCACACTGAGGGGACAGCGTGGCCTTGGTGCTTCAGGTGAGCCGGGCACAGCACGGTCCACACCATCCACTCACCCACGCCCAGCCCACACTGACCACACACTCACGCACAGCCCACACCATCCACGTGTCCATGCACAGCCCACAACGTCCATGTACCCATGCACAGCACACACTGACCACATGACAACCCACTGCCCACACCAACCATGTGCCCACGCACAGCCCACACTGTCCATGGACCCACACACAGCCCATGCACCCACTCATAGCCCACACTGTCCATGGACCCACGTGCAGCCCACATTGTCCACGCACCCACAAGCAGCATGGCCCCCATCGTCCATGCACTCACACGCAGCGCAGTCCACTGTCCACACTGGGCGGCACCATCCTCGCACCCCACTCCCTGCCAATTACTTCTCTATCCCTGTCTTCCTGCTGCCCTTTGTCTTCTTGCCTTTGGGTGCCAGGGGGTCAGTGCTGCTGAGGACAGCCTGTGAGTCCCTCACGCACCCTTCTGCTCTCCTGTCAGTCTTTCTGCAAGTGGGGCCTGCGCCTCCTGGGGCACACGCCCGCAGCACCTCAAACAGCTCTCCAATTCCTGCTGATCAGCCACCACCCTTCCAGGGCGCGCTCCTGCTGGGCGGAGCTTCTGGTCCACGCAA